CTTTTAGTGTATGCTAATATGTTTAAAGTTTCCTCCTCTTTAGCCTGGCACTGATGTCTAACATCTATCTATAATCCTGAAATCTGATTATCAGGAATCAAAGCCAGCCCAGGCAAGAAAGACCCTGAGACTCTTATTTCCAATGGCCAATCCACCACACACACACACACACCAAAAAAAAAAAGCTGGGCTGTGAAGGCAGGGAATATAGCTTAGTAGTAAAGTGCTTGACTAGTATGCCTGAAGTCCTGGGTTTGATGGAAGTGGTGCTGTGGCTCAAGTGGTAGAGCGCTTGCCCTGAGCACCAAGGGGTTCAGAGAAAGCCCAGGTTCAAGCCCCAGAGCTAGCAAAAAAACAAAAGCTGCAAGTCAGCTCTCACTCAAGTGGTAGAGCACTAGTCTTGAGCATAATAGCTCAGGGACAGTGCCCAGGACCTAAATTCAAGCCACCTCCCTCCCCCGTACAACCTGCACATAACACATACCACAAAGTTTCTTCAATAATAGAAATATCAGGTTTGAAAATGAGAAGGCTGATACAAAATTTGTCTTCAATTGTTAGTTCTCTAAGTGCATATATATGTGCATACAAATATATGTATATGTATATATATATCCCACTCCTTCAGTCTTCCTGCTGCACAAGAGTAAGGAAGTCTGAGTTACAGATTTACTGATGTCTGGATGTGTTCCATTAATAATCACACTCATAGCATGTAATATGATATCTAATGTTTATTATTGGAAATATAGCTGACATTAAGCTGCCAGCAGAGAGCGCCATTGTTTCAGAATACCTCCACCAAGCTGAGAACTGTCTTACTACACTGGACTGCTTCACTTAAGGCCTTTCTTATATGGAAGCAGTTGACCTCATGCTCAGTAATACAGGTTAATAGCGCCAGTTTCTCAGAATGAAACTGGGTTGGTATACAACCAATCGAAAATTAAAAAAAAAAAAAAGCACTGTCCAAAAAGAAATGTACTCTTTTGTTGGTGGTGGTCATGGTGCTTGAACTCTGGGCTTGGGTGCTATTCCTGTGCTCTTCAGCTCAAGGCAAGCAAGAGCTTTACCGTTTGAGCCACAGCACCACTTATGGTTTTCTAGTAGTTAATTGGAGATAAGAGTCTCATGGACTTTTCTGCCCATCCTGGTTTTGAACTGTGATCCTCAGATCTCAGCCTCCTGAGTAGCTAGGATTATAGGCATGAGCACCAATGCCCAGCAAGAAAAGTACTCTCTACCTGAGTTTTGTAATAATGACCACTCTGTACGTCACCTTTATTTTATTCTGTCTGTACTGGGGCTTGAACTCTGGGCCTGGGTGCTGTCCCTGAGCTCTTCAGCTCAAGGCGAGCGCTCTACCATTTGAGCCATAGTGCCACTTCTGGTGGTTAATTGGAGTCTCAAGAACTTTCCTGCTCGGGCTGGCTTTGAACCGCAATCCTCAGATCTCAGCCTCCTTAGTAGCTAGGATTACAGATGTGAGCCACCAGCACCCAGCTGTACATCATACTTATGATATATAATTTAAATTTTAAAAATATATAATTTTAAATATATATGTATATATTATACCAGGGTACCACATCTGTAATCCTAGCTACTCAGTAATCATGAGAATCGGAGGTGGGGGGGACTGGTGGGGTTTAAACTCAAGGCCTGGGCACTTTGCTCAAGGCTAGTGTCCCACCATTTTGAGCCCCAGTGTCAGTTCTAGTTTTCTGGTGGCTAATTAGAGATAAGATTCTCAGAGATTTTCTTCCTTGGGTTGGCATCAAAACTGCCATCCTAGCCAGGCGCCGGTGGCTCATGCCTGTAATCTTAGCTACTCAGGAGGCTGAGATCTGAGGATTGCAGTTCAAGACTAGCCTGGGCAGGAGCATCCATGAAACTCTTATCTCCAATAAATCACTAGAAAACCGAAGTGGCTATGGCTCAAGCTGTAGAGTACTCTCTTTGAGCTGAAGAGTGCAGGGACAGCACCCAGGCCCAGAGTTCAAGCCCCAGGACCAAAACACACACACACACACACACACACACAAACAAAAACAAAACAAAACCTGTCATCCTTAGATCTCAACATCCTGAGTAGCTAGGATTACAGATTTCAGCCACTGGTGCCCAGCTTTCCATGTGTCTCTTATCTCCAATTAACTACCACAAACACCAGAAGTAGAGCTCTGAATCAAAGTGGTAGAGCACTAGTCTTGAACAGAAGAGCTCAGTGCCTAGGCCTTGTGTTCAAACCACATGACAAACCAACAAAAACATGAATAAGCCAGGCTCACGGGTATAATTCTACCTACTCAAGACATAAGGATTGAAGCCCCAGATTAATGAGATCAAAAAGTTAGTGAAGACCCCACACACACACCATCTCAATAAGCGGTGTGGTGGTCCATCCCTGTAAACCACTCCCTACACCAGAGGTATTAGATATGAGTATCATAGGCTAAGATTAGAGGTGAGGATCAAATGGTAGAGTACCTACCCAGCAAGTGAGATATGAGTTCAAGCCCCCACTACCATAAATTAATTGAAAATGGCGCCAAGGATCATTCTGATGATCTAGCCTTTGTTAAATGCAGAAACACGTACACAGCATAATCAATATAACATTTGTTTTTTTTTGGGGGGGGCGGGTCTGGTCGTGGGGCCTGAACTCTGGGCCTGGGCGCTGTCCCTCAGCTCTTCAGTTCAAGGCTAGCGCCCTACCACCGAGCCACCTTCCCAGCCCCTCAATATAACATTTGGAACACACAGACTGCCACTCTTCTGCCACACAGCTGTAACAAGAAGCGAAAGCCTTTCTCTTGAAATGATCATCACAGATAGTCTGGGAAGAGGTCGGTTTGGTTTCTGCTCTTCTCCTTTCCAGATGGGGTGTCGCCTCAAAGTCCAGGGGCGCGGTAAGCACAGGGAGAGGCTGCGTGGCGTCTACCTTCTTCCGCATTTAGCCGTAAGGTCCCAGGCACGCGCTTTGACGGCCGTTTCAGCACAATGGACAGCGCCCAGATGGTTGCCAGGACACCAAGGGAAACATTTCGTGGGGGCGGAGCCTGTGGTCTTGCCCCATCAGGAGCAGCGCGAAGGGGGCGGAGCCTGAGAATATCCTATCAGGGGAGGCGCTGGAGCCAGGAAGCAGAGGGGGCCGGGCTCCTGTGGCAGAACTTCACAGGCGGGCAGCGCCAGGGATGCCACCTGGGATGAGAACCAGTGGCCGGGAGGAACTGGATGTTGGCAGATTTTCCGTGCCCAGCTGAACGCGGGCCCAACTCCAATGGTGTGAGCCGTCAGCAGCCCCATTCTCCATGGCTGCCCGGGGCAGCAGCCTACCCAAGGAGAGATGTGGTGGTTCGTTTTAGAGGGCTGGTGCCTAGAGGGCAACCAAACGTCATCTGGGAAGTCTCCAGAGGAGCCTGGGAGCATGCGCATTTGCTCTGCTTATATCTACTGGAGCGGGAAGCGCCCCGCTGTGCGACCTACCAAGACAACGTGCCACAGAGGCTGAGGCCAACGTGCTATCTCGTGGGAGATTTTGGCAAGACACTGGGACAGGGATTTAAGAGAGCTGTGGCCATTCTTCCAGTCCTGTCTCCTACGATCAAGCAGGGAGATAGGCATCTCTCTTTGGGGGCCTATTTGGAGAATTGTTTTACAACAGTCATGAGCCTCAGAGCAATTTCCTCAGTGCAGTGGACTCAACCACCGAGCTGGGCTGGGCACCTGCCTCTGCTCCCCTCTGCCCTCCTCCCTGAACTAGAAACAAGCCCAAGCCCAGCCTCGCCACCCCCGAAGCTTGCTTCACACTAAGACGCCTGCCTCCACACTCCTTGCGCATGTGGGATAGGAGCCCCCCCAGCGGCTGGAGGCTCTATGAGGCTACCACCCTCTTCCGGGGGAGGGGGGGGGGAGAAGAGCACAGGATGTGACACTTCAGTGGCAAAATAAATACGGTGAGAAAATGAGACGACAGACACGTGAACTCTCAGTTTATTCTGGGAAGGGTCAGTGAGCATCGTGGCCTCCATGGAGGCTGGTTGCGCTGATGCCCAGAACCGTGTCCAGAGGTCTCAGGCGGGGGTAATGTGTACGGCCAGCATGGACGGAGCTCACACGGAGACTGAATGCGGAGGCGACACCCCAGCTGTGGAGGATCGGGACGCAGAGCTTCGGGGGCAAGGACGGGCCTTATGGACTGCACGAGAACGGTCAGTGGTGGAGTGGATCTCCCTGCCAGGGCGGAGAGGAAGCAGGCGGCTAGGTGATGACCCCCAGATCAAACTGGACTCGAGCCCAAAGACAGGCAGAGCCCCAACGGCACTGCTCCATCAGGGAGGTAGAAATCCTGGGACTGTACCCCCATAACTCCATGGTCCCCGCTGGTCTTAAGTCACCAACCCCTAATACTCCACCCCCCCCTAAGTCCAGAGTCCCTCTGAGGCCCTCCCCCTTTTCCTAATGTCATCCTTCCTTCACAGGGGGGTCCCAGGCCCTCTTGGTCTTTGGTGCCTGATGCCCCACTCCTGACCCCCATGGCTTATTCAGCAAGTACCTCGTCATGATCAACTCCAGAGGACAAACTGTGGGCCCCTGCTCTTCCTGTGGAGGCTCCTGGTGACCTGCACTGGACACGGGACAGCAGGTGAAGCCAGCCAGCGCATGCGGCGGGGAGCTGGAGCGCCTCCCACAGGCCTTCTCTACCCAAGGTGACAGCTGCGTCTTGGTTCGGTGGGGCTGGGGCGCTGGGATACCACCACAGGCCAAATGAACCCCAGCGCCCTCAGCAACAGGGAGGCCTGCAAGGTGTGCCACGGAGGGTACTGTGTTCTCCAGCTGCTCCTCAGAGACAAAGCACCTGGGCTCCTGTTGAGTCACGGAGTGTGCCATCCAACCCTCTCCAGCAAGACCTCAGGGACTCATCTAGAGTTTGGTTGTGCTTGGCAGGCAGTCCTCCGGCTGAGTTGGTGGGTGACACACAACCCCTCCTCACACAGCCCCTGACCATGGCAGCAGGGACTCCACTCGTCCACTACACATCACTTGTGTGGAATGCTGGCTCGCACACACTGGAACTCCCACGTGGGCTGCTGCTCGGCCTGGTTTCACGCAGCCACATTCTCTTTCCAACTCTCCCGGGGCTGAGTCACTCATCCCTGGGGCTTCCTCTACACCGGCGTGAAGCGCAGAGACTTGTCTTTTGTGGATCCAGGAAGGCTCACGTTTACCCCCTTCCACGCAGCTCTCATTTGCTTCAGCAACGGAGGGGTCTCAACACAGATGGGATCTTGTTGCTTCTTGCACATAGGAGACCAAAGGGCAACCTAGAGGCTCAGGCCAACACCTGCCAGGTGTTGCCAGGGAGGAGAGGCGGCTACAGGTGGACGAAGGCTCTTGTGGAGGTGCTGGACAGATGTCCAGCAGCAGAGACCCTTGGTGCCGCTTCACAAGCAGCCTGGAGCTCTCTCGACTTGTGACCAGCTCCCCCACACACTGAAGAATTGACAGGAGACAAATCTTCCCCCAGACCGCTAGACTCAAGTCTCTGCCACTTGTAGGGAGCCCCAGCTCTCACTGGAAGCTTCTCTGGGGCAGCACACACCAGCCCCTCCCTACCAGCACAGCTGGCTGGCAGGATTCATGGAGCAGAAACTAACACGTGCCTGAGGCTCCAGCCTTCCAGGGGCTCCGCACGCTACCAGGAGTGGAGCTGTGGAGCCCATGGGACACGGGGGTAAAAAGACCCCCAGGTGGGCAGGAAGCTGGCTCTTGCCAAGCTTGGAATAGAGATGTCTGGAGGCCTGGAGTTGGACCCTCTCTGGTGACCAGGGACCGTCCTGCTGTCCCCACCCTGCATTCCAGGGCGGGAACAGAGCGGAGCAAGCTGCCCATCACCCGACTGACTGGAGGGTCAAACACCCAGGCCTGAGACAGTGCCATTTTCTTTTTCTTTATTTGTCTACATTCTTCTGAGTTTGGATGTACTGCCTGAATGATCCAGACATACCCCCCCAAAAAAATCCCACTCTTTCCCACTGGTTTTTAAAATAAAATCTTCACTTATAAAACTGAAACACTAAAGCATTAAAATACAGAAAGCTCATTGAACTCACTTCACAAAAGCATTAACAGATGATGCATCCCTTCCGTCACTATTGAAAGACAAACCAAGGCAATGCTAACACCAAGTGTAAATAGACAGAGGGATACTGAACGGCAAGAACGCAAAACTCTACCGGACGAGACTTGTAACGGCAACTAACAAACCACTGAAGACACGGAGTCCCAAACACGGCTAAATGCGGGTCACAGCACGGGCCCAGGGGCCGCTGCACCTCACGACACAGCAACGTGGACGGGTGGGGGATGCCTGCAGGGCCGGCGGACATGTTAACTGTGATGCATAAAACTGAATCTTCGGATGGGCTGAGGGCGTAAGTGCAGAAGGTACAGGAGGCAACCCGCGGGCTTTATCTGTACTGGTAGTTCATGCTGTGGTCTGTGTTCCGGCCGTAGCCCCCCTGTGAGGACTGGTAGGAGCCGGGAGGGCCACTGTAGCTCTGTCCAGACCCCGGGGAGTTGTAGTTTGACTGGGACGAGTAGCCTCCTGCAAGAGACAGGGCAGATTAAAGGAGGGGACAGCAGCGCCTGGGGCCACGGCCCCACGGGGGCGGCCCCTCGGACACCTGCTTTGGCTAAGTATCTTTTACAAGTCATCCAGTCTTGCCTGCCGCCAACACCCTGCAAGGTGGCATCACTTGCAAGCCCGGCTGCTAGGGGCTGTGGCACGTGGTGATGGCATCACCACAGAACCGAGGGCCACACGAGCTCCCGCGGAGATCACCACTCAGAGTGGCCCCTGGGTTTCTTGGACATCTCAAGTGGGTGCTGGCACTTGAGTTTTGAGGTAACGTCTGGTCTCAGGCCTCTCACATGCCCAAGCAGCTATGGTGGGCCCTACTTAGAAGCGGCAGCAGCTTGCCAGTGCACCCACCCACAAGCCCTCTGTTCCTGCCCTGGCTCCTAGCTTCACAGCACCACCAGGCAGGACCTGCCACCTACTCCCCAGGCCCACCTTGTTTGCCTTGGTATGAAGAGCCGCCCCCAGAACCTCCGCCGTAGCCCCCGTGTGACCCAGGGTTGTAGGAGGACCCGCCTGAGCCATAGCTGTTCCCGCCACTTCGGCCTCCACTACCACTGTAGTCTAGGGGAGAGAAAACAGCAGTTAGGGGCCTGGGGAAGGCAAGGTGGGGGTGGGCCAGGGCCCCACTGGCAGGGCACAAGTCCCTGCTTAACTGTGGCACATGTCAGCCCTATAAGTAAGTACTAGGTTCCAAACAGAGCCCAGTAAGTGACTATGCCCTGACCCTGGCCAGTCCCGAGGGATGGCACCTGCTCCCTCCCTGCCATCCCCCACCATGCACAGCGCCTCGCTGCTGCCCACCGCCCCCGTCACAAGGACACACACACGCCTACTCCACCCCACAGAGCCCACATGCAGTACAACCCACTGGGTCTGGGCATGAAGTAGAAGGAAAAGATGTGTGCTGGCCAGGTGCCGTGGCTCACTCCTATAATCCTAGCTACTCAGGAGGCTGAGATCTGAGGATTGCGGTTCAAAGCCAGCCCAGGCAGAAAAGTCCATGAGACTCTTATTCCAATAAACCACCAGAAAACCAGACGTGGTGCTGTGGCTCAAGTGGTAGAACGCTCGCCTTGAGCTGAAGAGCTCAGAGACAGTGTCCAGGCCCAGAGTTCAAGCCCCATGACCACCACCACCAACAACAGCAACAACAAATGTGGGCTGGAACAGGGACTGGACGCAACACTGCCTCCCTCCACAGCCTCCTCCCAAGAGGTGGTCTCGAGTTAAAACTCCACGTGCAGCAGCGCTGTGTGGGCTGCGTGGGCCCGCCGAAGCACCCGAGTATCCTGCACCAAGCCCTGGGCTGGAGGCCAACTCACTGAATTTGCTGTCGTAGCTGTAGTCGGCACCGCCCCCGGGGGAGCTGTATGAGTTGGAGTAGGAGGAATAGCTGCCCTGACCGTGGTTGTAGCCTTTCTGCTTGCCCTGCGGTGGGCCATAGCTGCCGTACTGGCTCTGGTTGTAGGACGGCTGCTGGCCCTGGTGGGCCTGGTAGCCGGAGCCGTAGGAGGGCTTCTGCTGGCCCCCGTGCGGCGGCTTCTTCCCAGCATGCTTAGGGGGCACCGGAGAGCTGTAGCTGTCCCCTTGGTAGTAGGAGCCGTAGCCAGAGGAGCCACCACCGCCCCCGCCGCCGCCACCACCACCGGCATTCCCAGAATGCCCTCCGTTGCTGTAGAATTGACCTAAACAGGGAGGCAGGGGGTCAGGCAGAGGGTCTGGGAGGCGGGGGAGGGGAGGGAAAGGAAGGTGGCAGCCGTGGGCCCTGAAGGCTGACCTGCACGCGCATGCGCGTACAAGGGGCTGCCCAAAGACAGCGAGGAAGAGGACAGAGCCGCAGCTCTGCTGGTCAAGGCAGCCTGCCGCAGGCCGGCGCAGCCTTCGGCTCCACTCACCCATCAGCTGGTGACAACAAGGGGTCTTTGCCAAGCAGCGCACGACAGCAGCTGTGCAGCAGATGTCAACATTACAATGAGATGGGCTCCGAGCGCGGATGACATTCAGGACTAGCTGACGGCTACCCAGATGTCCCCAACGGTGACAGGAAAAGCAAAGCCCCAGAGAAGCAGCGAGCCACCCCCACCTCCTCCGTTCTGTGCTGGATGGAAACGGGCTTGGCAGGCCTAGGCCGGGGACCCCAGATGTTCCGGAACGAGGCCTCTAAAACCACCACTGTCCTGCAAAGACCAAGTGGTCCAGCCTGGTTCTCGGAAGAGCAATTTGAAACTCCTTGATCACGTGCGGGTGTCCCCCCAGTGCTACTTGTACAAAAAACACATGACCTAGGGTACAGAAGAGGGTCCCCCAAATCAGGCTGGACATCCAGATGACCATGCAAGACCCCTTAACTGTCCCTGAGCACAGCCGCTGGGCACCACCAGCAGGGCTGAGTTCATGGGAAGGCCCCACATGTGGGCACTAGGCTTTCACCACACCGCCTTGCCAGAGACTGGGGTAGGGTGGGGGACAATTTGCAGCCTCCATGGTACCAGGATGCCCCTCGTTGGCAGTGCCAGACATGGCTGTGGAACTCTGAGGGTCTGAAAGCTGAGGCCGAGCTGGCCAAGCCACAGGGCAGCTCTCAGGGGCCAGGCCTTCCCCAGCGCTCAAGTAGGGGCTACAAAGCTCCAGGGCCTGGGCACACAGGCCCCTCTGCCCACAGCCGGCCAGCACATGCTCCTGGCCAGGCCCAGGGTGGGTGGGAGGGAGAGGGCGTCCCACACAGCCTAGCCTGTCAGTCTTCCCCAGGTTGAGCACTGAGGATCCCACACTTTGGGGGTGGGGCACGGGGGGGGGGGAGACAGTCTGGCAGTCCTCCCAGGCCTTCCATCCCCCGGAGAAACGCACCCCATTTGCTGCCATGTCGAGGGCCACTGGCACAAGCACTGGGGGAAGACAGAACCAGTCTACACACTGGACCTTTTTCTCTGGGCAGCCTCCCTCCCCTCCCCTCCCCTCCCCGATCACGAAGTACACACCGAGGAGGAGGACGTGTCCCACAGTGCAAGAAAGCAAATGTGCGGAAGCTCAGTGAGGAGGCTGGGTGGACCAGGACCTCGGCACCCCCCTCCGAGTAGTCCCCCACCCCCACCCCAGCCCCTGGTCCGGCTTCCCCAGCATCCTACACTGAGCATCCGTCTAAAGCCGGGAATGAATGAAGACGCAAGTACCGAGGGCTCATTACTTTAACATGTATTGATTCCAAAAAAAAAATAAAGGGGAGGAGGGAGTTTCAACGTCATTCAGGATAACTATTTCCTGGTATAAAAAGACATATACTCAAACAATAACTTTCTAAAAAAAAATACATCATGCAATCCAAGTTTTAAAAAGTCTCACTGAATGTTTCAAACCTTGGGAACAAATCACACATGGTAACCATTTTTGACCAGTTTTGCCTGAATGAATGCAAAATCTTGCAAGTCAAGACAGAGGCAAGCTGGGCAGCTAAAATAACGGAAGCCGCCATATCCACCGAGGCGCCCACCAGACAGCCCAAACCTGGTGAGGGAGGCAGAGGGGCCTCGAGCCTTTTGCGCACAGCGAGGAAGGGCTGCCAGGCCCTGGGGGACCCAAAGCCGGCTCGCTGCTGGGAAGTCAGGGATGTACTAGGCTTCTGCTGCGTGATCTTTTTTGTTTTGTTTTGTTTTGTTTAAGCCCCATTAAAGAGACTCAAAAGTCAAACATCCAGAATCCCTTGCATTTGCAGCTGTGACCAGGACTTGCAAAATTTCACATTCTCTAAACCCTTGAAGCTCGTCTGTCTCTCGCACAGGTGATGGAAGCAGTTTTGATACCTTTGAGAGTCCACTCTAGCCAAACCAGCCACAAAATACTGCACCCAACCAACAAGCAGCCCACCAGAGCCTTTAAACAGGCGGGCGTGGCCTCCACCCAGGGCACCATTCCCAGGACGCCTTCCCGGCACGGACCAGGCAGGATACAAAGAAAAAAAGTCGCCGGCCTTTGGATCAGTGTGGTGACATGGTTTTCATCACTGTCAAAGGCATCAACCAGGTGTGGGGATCGGTTAGAAGATTAAAAATTCATACAAAACCTGCTGTAAATTAAGACAAAGGTAGATTAAAATGTGTCACTGTCTGTCTCTTTGAATAAAGGAATGCTTTCTAGATAAAGCACGGGTGGGCTTTTGCCTCGATGCTCAACAGCACTGGCTCTAAAGTTCCGTGCAAGCGTGCACAGAGATACATTCTCTGGGAAAGTGTTCTCCACTTAGTGTGAACTTCAAAATGACCAAGGTTCAAAGGCAAATCACGATAAGAACTGCCATTGTCTTAAATTCTGCAGGCTAAGAGTTTCAGACAAGCTGCGGTGGAAAGCCACGGTTGAGAAACCCAGTGGAGCACAGGGACACAGCACGGACACTTTGGGTTTTGGAGTTGGAAGAAATTGGAGTAAAAAGTTGATTTTGTGTGCAATACTTTTAGACGCTCTAGGAAGACCCAAAATCATGATAGCCGTAGCAGTCTGTGAAAAAGTCACCTACAAAAGGGGGAGACAGAGCAGAGAGAAGAAATTAGAATTCTTTTGAAAAAGGGCACAGAGCGCCACATTTGAACTCATGTTCTAGATTTCTCTGCTCCTGTGGCCCCCAGTGAAGGCTCTTTCTCAGGACAGTAGCGGTGCTTGGGCAGGAAAGACGCACTCGCCAAGACTGGTGCTTCGCACGGCATACAGCAGAGAAATGGCAAATTTGGACTTCTAAGGAACTTGGCAGGCACATGAGCTTGGTGTGTTGGCATTTATGAACCAAGGACTCGCGGGCGGGATGGGGGCTTGGAGGGCCGACTGGCCAAACTCCGCAAAAAGGTGCGGGTGGCTCTGAGCCTCAGGGAAGCCCTGTGGGCGCGCCCTACACTCAGGCCCACACTACGCTGCGCCGCCTCCCACGTGGACACACACGGAAGCGCACACTTACTGTAGCCTGCTGTCGCCGAGTTGCCGCCGTAGCCGTAGCTGCCGTAGCCGGCCCCTGCAAGAGAGCAGACACGTCCCAGGATGGAGGGGGGCTGCCTTAGACCCCCTTCTCCTTCAGCTTCTCAGCGCACGTGCGCATGCGCGAGCTGGGGACACGTGGGACCCAAGCCCTCGCCCTCACCCGCGTTCATGTAGCCTCCGTGGTTGGCACCGCCGAATCCTCGTCCCCGGCCTCGCCCGCGGAGGTTACCTCCTCTACCCCGGCCTCGGAGATTGGGGGGTGGGGGTACTTCGTTGTGCATGGGTCCCCCCATGCCAAAGCCAGGGCTGTGGGGCTGAACGAGAGAGCACCGGAGGGTGAGGCCCCCTTGGCTTCCCAAGAAGACCGGGGGGGGGGGTCGGGGTGCGTGGAGGAGGAGAAGCGGTCACCTTGGTGGCAAACTTGGGTCCACCTCTGACGGGAACGGGGGTTCTCTTCTTTTTGTTGGCATCCAGGGAGAGGGGGGCATCGGGGAAAAGCTTTTCGAGCGCGGCCAGAGCAGCGTAAGCCTTTGCCACCTTCTTGTTCGAGCCAGCACCTTGGAACTTCTGGCCGTCCACCTCAACCTGCGGGAAGGCGCCCGGCGGATGATCAGGGCCTCCTCCCGTGGGGCAGGGCGGTGGCGGCTCCGGAGACACCCCCAACCCAGAAGCTCCCTCACCTCCATGACGAAACGCTTGTCGTGGCTGCCGCCTGTCTCGGAGATGAGTTCATACTTCAGGCCGCGGCGCTTCTCATTGAGCTCCATGACGGGGTTCTTGCCGTGCTTCGTCAAGATCGGCCCCTGCTGTTTTACGTTCTCAGGGAAAACACAGAAGAAAACCAACACACTCAGCTGCAGGCCCCCAGCGGGACAGGAGGCCAGGCGGCAGCAGGGTGGGGGTGGGGAGGCCCTACTCTCCCCACCTTCTTTGTGCCAGCTCTCAAGGGTGGGCTGTCCAGGATGGCATCAACACCCCCCAGCACCCCACCAGCTTACTAGCTTGCACCTGGCTGGAGGCGCGGGCAGGTACTTGGCTCTACCTAAGCTCCCTGCAGCTTCCGGTAAGGGCCATTGCCTGAAGGTCTACCCTGCCCACGGGAAAGGGGGGAAGCGTCCTGTCTACACCACTTCAGTGGCCACCTCCAGTGCCTACCATGAGCTCACCTCGGCAGTGGCGTCGGCGGGGAAGGCAGCGTTGGGGTTCGAGGATGTTTCCATCACAGGGGGCGGCGCCACCACGGCGGGCTTTGCCTCGGTCTCCTCGGCAGAGTCTTCCCCCTTGCTGGAGTCTCTGCCTTCAGCACCTGTTGGCAAGCCCATGTCCTGTAGCACCTGGAGGGTACAGAGCTGGTGAGACAGGGGTGAGGGGGAGGAGGGGAACAGGGACAACATACGGGGCTTCCTGGACTGGGAGCCCTGAGCAGAGCCTGGCCACTAATGTTGACCTTTTCTCCCTGAGGCCCAGCTAGCTGGGGAGGACCCTGGATGGGAGGCGGGGGAGTGGGGTTGGCCACTCGTGGCTTTGGCAAGCGCTCAGAAATCTAACCACATCCCTATTGACGCCCCGCCCTCCCCCTGCTTCTCCCACTGCAAGACGGTACCTTCACGGCCACGTGCAGCTTGGCAGTCTTTTTAGATGGCCCTGAGGCCTCAAACAAACTGCCGTCCACCTCCACAGACATGGTGAAGATGGGGGCATGCACGGGCCCCGTCTGGGAGATCAGCTTGTACTGCAGCCCCGGCTTCAGCTGGTTCAGCCTCATCAGGGCGTTCATGGCTTGGGGAGGCTCGGTCTTCTCCTCTGCAACAAGACAACTTGGGGTGAGACTTCAGTAGTCCTCGGCCAGAATGGAGCGGGAGGAACCCCGGTGGCCTGCCTAACTCCAGCAGCGCAGGGGGAGGGGGGCGCGCACACACACTCAGACAAACAAGACAGACGACAGACAGACAGAGACAGAGACAGAGACAGACAGACAGACACACACACACACACACACACACACACACACACACACACACGGGTCTGTGACGCCAGACTCAAAACTACTGTGTCATCCAAGCAAACGAGAGCTGGAGCGGGCAGGCAATGAGAGCGGGTGGGGATGGTGAGCTGCCCCCACACCTTTCTTCTGGATCTTCTTCTTCTTCTTGCTTGGGGACTTCTCGTCCCCGTCTTCCTCCATGGGGCGCTTCATCGGTGTAATGGCGTACGTGGTGCTGGGCGGGATTTGAACTGGAAGGAGAAAGCAGGACAGAAACGGCTAAGAGCAAGGCAGGGAGGCGGGAGCGGCCCTTGGCCCTTGGCCTGGCGCTCGTACCGGTGTAATCCACTGGGTTCTCGTTCTTTGGTTTCTTGGGCATCTTGGAGGGCAGGGGGTCCATGCCCAGCACTTTATGGAGCTGGCCGAACGCAGCGAGCCGCAGAGCATGCTGGAGGGGGGGAAGAAAAGTTTCACTCAGATGCCCGGCGCCGGAAGCCTCGGTCTGTGCGCTCACTACTGCTTTCTGAGAGGGGGGCAGGAACTGCTGGGCTGCTAATGGTCTCCCCTACATCAGCAAGGGGTTCCCTGACAGCTGCGGCAGGGCCTGACTGCTTGAGCCCAGCCTCGCTGTGGGGGAGGGCCAGTCTGTGACCACCCCCCGGAGAGGAATACAGGAGACCCCAACCTGGGGACTGGTTGCCACACGGAGCCACGTGGTGAGCCTGCCGGGGAAGAGCCCCAGAACGGCCCTCGTGCAAACATGGCACGCGGGCAAGCGGAGGGAGGGGCAGACAACCACCACGCATGGCACCAGGGGAAAGAAGCAGCCCAGATTGGGGCACCCTGTATCAGATCTGTGCCTTCGCCTTTGTCCCCAACCTGAGCCTGCGATCCAGGGGCTGCCCTGAGAATAGCCAGTCATGGAACTGGGAGCCAGTGAGTGCAGACTGGGCAAGGGCTCACGCTGGCAATGGCGACGACTATACCTGCGCACTCTGTGTGATATCTTCCCGTTGCTGTCTGTCTAGATGCCCAATAGCATCAGTGGCTTCTTTTTCACAAGGGTCATAAATGCCAGAACCATCTGAAGGCAGGAAACAAGGAAGATATGCAGAGGATTATCTTTTAGCTTCTCGGAAGAGTTCTGCTGGCTGAGGGACCAGGTGCGTTACCCCCCCGCGCCCCATCCACACCCAGCTCTGGAAAACACGCCGAGCTCGGTGACCCACTCGGCGTCCAGCCCTTGACAGAAATAATCCACATGTGTCTCAGAGCAAGAAAAGCCACGTGGGAGTGGGTCACCACTGCCCCCGGATCCGCCCTTGGAATCAGGGCTGCGGACCCGGCTCAGGGCTGGATATGATGGTGCAAGAGGGTAGTCACATGCTTCGCCCTAGGGGACCTGGGGCTGCTGCTGCTGCCCTAATCCAGTTAGTGGACCGGAGAGGAGGTGGCCACAGGGCCTTGATCCCTGTCCTTTCCCTGCCACTTCTCAAAGCACAAGGCCCCAACCTGGCATCACGATGCCCGAAGCCAGGCACTCCAGCACTCTCCGCAGGGCCTCGCCAGCACCCATGGGCCTGTTGGCCGTGCCGATGGATTTCTCACACAGCAACTCCAGGGGCTAAAAGGCAAGAGGAACAGTGAGCCACCAGCTGCAGAAGGGGACAGCTAATTCCCAGGGGAGCGTTATTACGGAGTGGGTGGAGGAGCCACAGCCACCATGGCAATGTCACAGCCCAACACAGCAGGGGACACAGGCACACACAGGCAGACTTTTTGAAAAGGACATGAAATCCTTTCGGCTTATGGGCCAGGAGGCTCGCCCAAGATGTCTTTAGGTCATTGTAATAAAATGTGATCATTTACAAACGTCTTCAGAGCGGGCTGCAAGGGCATGGCAGCCGGTCAGAACTGGCTGGCCCGGGTCGCTGTTTTACTGGCTTAGAAACTGAGGCAAGCAAGTGCTTTGCTATAGAGTGGGGCACACCACTCCAGCAAGCAGCCAGCCTCGTCCGCTCCCCATTGAGAGCTGTGTGTCCCCCACAAAAGGTGCTAGCCTTGTTCTTAGCACCCCCCTCCCCCCCTCCCCGCCCAGGGCTCTGAAGCATCTCAGCAGTTCTCCACTAGCTGCTCTGAGGGAGTATGACAGCGACCCCCCAGAGCACTCTGCTGCCCAGCACCACGCAGGATTCCTGGGATAGGGATGCCCTCTGCTCCCACTGCTCTGTATCCCCAACTGGAAGGGGCCTTACCCATCCTCTAAGGGGTCCCCAGGTGGGTACACGGGTACACAGGTCCCTCAGGACCCGGATGACAATGACACAGGACTTCAGCCCGTTGGCTCTGGCCTGGAGGAAGAAAGCACAGGCCCTTTACACAGAGGCATCGCCAGATTCCAGGCAAACATGAACAACACAAGTCTCACGGTGCTGCTTTGCCAAGGGTAAGCAGGGGTGCAAGACCACCAAGGGTGTGGCCCGCTGCGCGCTCCCTGCCCAGACAGTGCTGTTACTCGAGGCAAAGCAGCAGCAGCCCACCTGTGCTGGTGCGAGCCTCCTGGGGGTGTCCAATTGGTTTAGTGCGCTCCTTTAGCAGCTGCACGGCCGCAGGTGCTAACAAGATGGCACGGCTATGGTCAATGTTATATAGAGACTTTATGGTCAAAGTTAGCCACATTAAAACTTAGGAATTCTCTACCAAAAGACAAAGAGAAGAACAAAATGCAAACCTGGAACCACTTGGCGTGTCGGAGGGACGCCAAGGCAGCAAGGCATTTCTGCCTGTCCAGAACATCCGGGGGATCGTTGACTGATAGCGTTTCTATTCATGGATGGAATAAGAAGACAAGGCACAGTTTGACCAAGGGGTTCTGTCAGGTGGAAAGGGGAAGTGGCAGCTTCCTAAAGGGCAGCTCAGTCTCCCAGAATCTGCATTCGTCTCCACCCTAGGCCAGGGAAGGAGAAGCTAGAGTGCAATCAACTCTGCCCTGAGAGGAAATCAGAAAAAAATCGGAGGCCCCCTCCAAAAAACAAAACAAAAAAACAAAAAAGAAAACAAAAAACAAAAAAACAGAAACAAAAAGAAAACAAAAAACAAAAAAAAAGAAAAAAGAAAAAAAGGAAAAAAAAAATCCAAAGTGGGAAGTTATTCTAAAAGGAATAATGCATGGGGAAGGGGAAAAGATAGGCTGATCCTATCTTCTAATAGACCAGTCCCTTGCTTTCTCCCCATAAGTTAGCTAGGCTAGAATTTTCAATAGGAAAAACAAACACAAAAAAGGTGGGGGGAGTGGAAATGAACTCCCTCTCTGCTTCCGACAGCCATCCCCGGAGGAATCTGCGGCAAAGGGGACCACCTCCGCCCACCAGGCGGGACTGCCTACCCCAGCCCTTGACAGAGAGAGTCCTGTTGGTCAAAGGTCCAGCGTCCCTACGTGGATAAACTATGAAGGCTTTGGTCATTCGCACTGGAATGAGAGCCACAGGGAATCAACAGCAGCAAGGGGGCGGCGTCAGCCTAGGCTGCAGTACTGCTGGGGCGCATGTCTGCTCTGCCACTTGTCCATCAGGGATTTGGATAAGGCCTGAGATGAGGCCAGGAGGGCCCAGGCTGCATGATGAACCGCAAAGGCAGCACTAGGGTCTGAAGGACAAAAATCCATCTGGAAAGTATGCAATGGTTTCAAACCTTATCCAAACCTCTGTACGAGACCCTGCTTCTCAGCCCCTCAGGGTGCTGGAAGGCGGCAGTGGCAGCGGACAAAGGAAGACACCTCAGTTCTCCTGCAGCGCACGCTGACCTCCCAACTCCTATGTTCATGCCCAAGCCATCGGGGGTGTGGTTACCAGTTACAAAACCAGAAGAGTACCAGGGACACTCCTTTCCAATACCAGAATAGTTCACCATGGACACAAGTTGCAAACACATTTGAGAAGTCTTAAGAGAAATCTTAAAAGAAGCACAATGGTGCCTTCCTCTCTGAACAGTGCTACTCACTTTTAGTGCCTCCATCGGTCAAACTGCCGAGGGCTCGAGACCCAGGCAGACATGTGATCTCAAGAGTTAAAAATGGGTCAGAGCTACACCGACACCCTCTGATCAAAGCAGTCTAAAACTGAATAGCACATTTGACCAGCGAGGCAACTCCAAGGTTTCAGAACTCTGCCGGTCTGTCTCAGCCTCCCTACCTCCAGCTAATACTTTTTCCATTTCTTCTCTGACAACCGGGGATGTCAGGTGGATGGTCAGGGACAATGGAGGTTCTTTTGTGTTTTTTATCACAATGGCAGCATCATCCACAGATTGGAGAATTTCATACTTGTCTTCTGTTACAGTCTGGAAAAGAAAATACAGCTTTCAAAACACTTGGTCTGCAGCACCATCAATAATGCGGGCTGGCTCTGCCGCTTCCTGGAGCGAAGGCGTCCAGCCAGACTTCAGGACCTAACTGACTCACTCCAACGCCGGGAATTTTCTAGGCACTCCAGGGAGGGAACCACTAAGTCATACAGCAAGACAAGCCACTTCCACCAGGAGGTTGAAAACACAAAAGGAGAAGCATGCAGTGCAGTGATCTCTGCAACTCAAGGAAGCGGAAAGAGAGGATCATGAGCCCAGCAGTTCAGAAGCAGCCAAGTAACCAGGCAAAATGACCATCTCCAAACCAATAATAGATGGAGCTAGGGCACCCTGGCTCTCACAGACCTTAGCTACTCAGGAGGTGAAGATCTGAGGATCAAGGTTCAAAGGCAAAGCTGGGAGCCAGGCTCATGCCTATAATCCTACTCAGAAGGCTGAGATCTAAGGATCACAATTCAAAGCCAGCCCAGGCAGGAAAGTCTGTGAGACTGAAAGTCCTATCTCCAATTAACTACCAGAAAACCAGATGTGGCACTGTGGCTCAAAGTGGTAGAGTGCTAGCCTTGAGTGAAAAAGTTCAGACACAGTAGAGTTACCAGGCCCTAAGTTCAAGCACCACGACTGTGAGAAGAAAGAGAAAAAAAAAAAAAAGGTTCACAGCCAGCCCAGGCAGGAAAGTCCATCACCAACTAACCAGTATATTTTTTTTAAAAAAAGCCTGAAATGTAGCTGTGACTGAAGTGGTACAGTGCCAGCCTTGACCCAGAAAGCTACGGGACTGGGCCCAGGCCATGATTAGGTCCTGAGTAAAAGCCCCAGTACCAGAACCAACTTTAAAAAAAAAGGCAACTTGAAGGGATGGGTGGCGTTGGGCACAAGGTGGGGTGGGGGAGCAAAACACTGTCCTCATAAACTGTTATGTTCAATTGAAATACCTTTGTACAACTACTTAAGTTAAAAGAAGAAATTGCAATCAGAAGGCAGGGATAAACAGCTCACCTTGTAATACTAGCACTCAGAACCTGAGGGAAAAGATTCAGGAGTTCAAGGCCAGCTGGGCAACATAGTAAGAAGAAATTATTTAAGACTGGGGAAAAAAACTATGTGTGAATCTTCCTTTGGTTACCTAACAGTAATTTTCAATAAATCAATTCATATGGAAAAGGTCTATTTTTTGAAGACAGGGTCTTACTACATACGCCAGGCTGGCAGAGAATTTATTATTCTTCTGCCTACCTGTCTCAGTATCCCTCGGGCTGGTATTACAGGCATGCACACCACCACATCTAGCTCAAGACTTCAAGATTGAGGGTCACAGGGCTGGGAAGGTGGCTCAGTGGTAGAGCGCTTGCCTTGCATGCATGAGGCCCTGGGTTCGATTCCTCAGCACCACATAAGCAGGAAAAAAAAAAGCCTGAAGTGGCATTGTGGCTCAAGTGGTAGAGCGTTAGCCTTGAGCTGAAGAGCTGAGGGACAGCGCCCAGCCCCAGAGTTCAGGCCCATGACCAGACTCCCCTCCCCCCCAAAAAAAGATTGAGGGTCACAATCTGTGGACTTAACATGCCCATGTGGCAAGGCTATAGAAACATTTCAAGTGAAGCAGAGTACCCCAGGCAAATATGCAGTCACCACAGGCTCTAAGTTGGCAGCAGCCACTGGACATTAGTGGTACCCAGTGTGCATATCTGGCACAATTGCTCCACTGCTTATATGATCATTCAAATGACTTGGAGAAAACTCGAGCTTTCTCATACTCATTACTATGCTGCACGAATGGAAGGGAAAGTCTGTTAGGATTTCACAAATTCCACATAATCAACATTCTAGGTGGGTAATTTGAAGCTGGGAAGCAGTTCTATGCATCACAGGATGCTCAACAGCGTTCCTGGGCCTTGCTCATAGGTGTTGGAGTTGACACCAACTATCATCAAGGAAAAATCGGTTGTCAAGCATCAGCAAAATTCTGGGCACTAGCCGGGCATCAGTGGCTCACATCTGTAATCCTAGCTACTCAGAGGAGGCTGAGATCTGAGGATCACAGTTCAAAGCCATCCTGGGCAGGAAAGTCCATGAAACTCTTATCTCCAATAAACCACTCAGAAAACCGGAAGTGGCACTGAGGCTCAAGTGGTAGTGCACTAGCCTTGAGCTGAAGAGCTGAGGGACAGCGCCCAGGCCCAGAGTTCAAGCCCCATGACCGAAAAAAAAAATAATAATAATTCTGGGCACTGGTGGCTCATGCTTGTAATTCTAGATACTGAGGATGAAATGAGGATCAGGGTTTGATGCCGGCCTGGGTAGAAAAGTTCATGAGACTCATAACTCAAATTAGCCACCAAAAAGCCATAAGTGGAGCTGTGACTCAATAGTAGTGAAAAAGCTAGGGAAATAGGCAGGTGCCAGTGTCTCACGCTTGTAATCTAGCAACTCAGGAGGCTGAGCTCTGAGGACCTTAGTTTGAAGCCAGACCAGACAGAAGTCTGTGAGACTCTTATCTCCACAAACCTATCCCCAAAAAACGCCAAAAGTAGAGCTGTGGCTCATGTAGTAGAGATTAGCCTTGAGCAAAAGAAGCTCAAGGACAGAGCCCAGGGCCTGAGTTCAAGTCCCAGTACCACATATTTTTGAGCAATCTAGCCTTGAAAATGTTTAAACACTGGGGCCGGAAAGGTGGCTCAGTGGTAGAACGCTTGCCTTGCATGCTTGAGGAACTGGGTTTGATTCCTCAGCACCATATAAGCAAAAAAAAAAAAGCCGGAAGTGGCGCTGTGGCTCAAGTGGTAGAGTGCTAGCCTTGAGCTGAAGAGCTGAGGGACAGCGCCCAGGCCCAGAGTTCAGGCCCACGACTGGACCCCCCCCCAAAAAAAAAAAGAAAAGAAAATGCTTAAACACATGCTCTACAAAACTGAGCTATTATTATTTGTATACTTAAGGAATGATTTTACAATAGTTCTTCCTATAAAAACGTTTATCATTCTTGAAGTACACTACAGGACTAGGGAGGCTGAGTAAGGAAGATCATGAATTTGAGGCCAGCCTGGTCAACATAGCAACTTCACAGAAAAACTAAACTACATAGCCTTAAAAAACTAAGGGCTGGAGATGCAACTCAGTGGTAGGTAGCATGCCCAGCACCACAAAAAAGAATAATTTTAAGTAGGATGCCTCTGGCTCATGCATGCAATCCTAGCTACTCAGGACAGCACCATGGCCTGAGTTCAAGCCCCAGGAGCAGGGGGCGGGGGGGGGGGGGAATCATTTATAACAAATTGCTTTCCCTAATATATTTTACAGACAATGGTAAAAATGAAATTACCACTAAAAAAAGTATTTTAATGCCAGGCACCAGTGGCTCACACTTGTAATCCTAGCTACTCAAGAGGCTGAGATCTGAGGATCATGATTCAAAGCCAGCTGAGGCAGGAAAGTTCATGAGACTCTTATCTCCAATAAACCACTCAGAAAACCTGAAGTGGCGCTGGGACTCAAGTGGTAGAGGGCTAGCTTTGAGCTGAAGAGCTGAGGGACAGCCTTCCTGCCCAGAGTTCAAGCCCCATGACTGACAAAAAGAAAAAAGGATTTTTAGTGCATCTATTTGTAGCATTTTAGACGTTTCTAGCATAATACACTTGCTCCCAGGCCCAATTCTTATCACATGTGTTGAAATGTATGTTTACAGGTGAAAGTTTTTCTTAGGAACGGGAAAAAACAGGAGACATGAGCCAGACTCCAATAGATCAGATTAAACACAAACTGTAAACGTGTACATAGTACATGCACTGTAAATGCAGAAAAGTAACAATGACAATGCAATCCTAATGACTAATGTAAGCTAAGAAAAAGGGGGGGGGGGAACCACAGTACTTCTGGCCTAGAGTCTAGTATAAGAAATGCTCAATAAATGTCACAGACCATTGCCTTTATAACTAAAATAGATGGCTCCCCTCCGTATTAGGGCCTGGGCACTGTCCCTGAGCCTCTTTTGCTCAAAGCTAGCACTCTCACTTGAGCCACAGTGCCACCTCTGGATTTTTATGTGTATGTGGTACCGAGAAATCAAACCCAGGGTTTCATGCATGCTAGATAAGCACTCTACCACAAAGCCACATTCCCAGCCCAAAAAAAATAGGGGCTGGTAAGTTACTCAGTGGTAGAGTGCTTGCCTCGCATGCATGAGGCCCTGGGTTTGATTCCTCAGCACCACATAAACAGCAGAAAGCCGGAAGTGGTGCTGTGGCTCAAGTGGGAGGGCTCTAGCCTTGAACTAAAGAGCTGAGGAACAGTGCCCAGACCAACCAAAAAAAAAAACAAGTATTTCTGGTGCCAGGCGCCAATAGCTCATGCTTTATGCTTATAATCCTAGCTACTCAGGAGGCTGAGATCTGAGGATCACAGTTTGAAGCCAGCCCAGGCAGGAAAGTCTGTGAAACTCTCATCTCCAATAAACCTCCCAGAAAAAGGTCTAAGTGGCACTTTGGTTCAGGTGGCACAGTGCTAGCCTTGAACACGAAGAAGCTCAAGGACAGCACCCAGACCTTGAGTTCAAGCCTCAGAATTGGCAAAAATAAATAAATAAAAATTGATTAATTTTTTTTAAATTTTGTATTTGTCCAAGTCTGGCTCTCAGAAACGTCATTTTCATTCCTTCCTTCTTTCCACATCCACTGCAGGATGGACATCCTACCCCCAGCAAAACAGCCTCGATGCTGTGCACGATGGTGTACAGTGGGCGCAGGACCTCACTAGCTGCCAGTGTCTGGGCACCACCCTAGTAGCCAGCAGGTGAGTTACCACCAACGCTGTGGCTCTGTGGCATATGCCTGCTACCTGTGAGAAAGGTGCATGCACGAGAAGTGCAAAGGCGGACACGATACACAACACGGGCTAGTTTCCATCCTCTGCCCCGGGTCCTCCACCAGCTCACCCGCTGCCCTCAGCCCCAAGTCTGTTAGTTGTGGTCACACTCACAGCGAGCTGGATGGCCAGGTTGTCTGCTACCTTGTCCAGGAGGGCAGTTGTAGGCTTCTCCTTACAGAGCAGTACCAGCTCCAGATCCAAGTCTCCCTTTAGCAGAAGGCCCTTGGCCACCAGACCAACCCGCATCACACCCCGGAGGGTCCTGGTCATGTGTTCTGCTTTCTGTTCCCTGAGGGACGATGAGAGTCTGGTTCAGTAGGGATAGGTGTAGCCGGAACCCAGAAAGGCTACAGCTTCTCAGGAAACTCCATGCTGAGCCCTGGCCTGGCTAGCACTTACCCAGCCCCTTCTTTGTTCTCATCGTCCGGAGCTGTGTCCATGTTGTCAGACTCGGCGGGCTCGCCGCTGCCCTTCTCCTGCTCATCGATCCAGTCAGACACCGCTTTGAGCGCCCGCTCAGTATGGGACACCATGTTCTGCACTGCCTCCAGCTCCTCTTGTGTCGGATAAACCGAAGAATGCTTTGCCATTACATGGCGATCGTCATTCACAAAAATTCGCATGGGACGCTGGAAATGCGAAAACTATACTAAAAATGATGCAAAGAGAGCAAGCAACCCACCACTTAGCATTTAAGCTCCAAATGATGCACCGCCATTCACATAAGACTGAATCTGTATGAGTGCCAACTGAAGGAGACTCAGAAGATGACACCAAATCTCAGCTGCTCTCTCCAGGGAGTGGGAGAAACAGAACATCTGACAGATTTCCCTCATTTCCACACTACAGTAGTCCCCTTTATCCATGGGAGTACAAGCCAAGATCCCCAATGGACACTTGCAGACAATACTGAACCCAGGAAAGCCTGTTTTTCCTCTACATACATTGTACGGTTCAATTTGTCACTTCAGCACATAGAGCAATGCTAACAATACTGTAATAAAGGCTATGTGAATGTGGGTTTTCTCTCAAAATAATGTGTTGTACTCACCCTTCTTCTCCTCGTGATGAAGTGATGATACAAGGCCTACGTGATGAGATGAAGTGAGGTGAATGACGCAGGCATGGTGAGGGCGTGCAATTTAAAATTTAGGAATTGTCTACTGCTGGAATTTAACTCTGGCAAACCGCGGAGGACCGCAGGTAACTTAAAGCCCGCTGGCCATGGAAACACAGATATTATGGTAGATATTACTTTATAGTTCAAAAAGCCTAACAGGCCTTGCCTGTCGCTCACAACTGTCATCCTAGCTACTCAGGAGGCTCAGATCTGAGGGTCCTGGTTCAAAGCCAGCCCGGGCAGAAAAGTTTGTGAGACTTGTATCTCCAATGAACCAGCCGAAAACCAAAGTGGAGCTGTGGCTCAAAGTGGTAGAACACTAACCTTAAGCAGAAAAGCTCAGGGACAGGGCCTAGGCCCTGAATTCAAGCCCCACAACTGAAAAAGAAAAGGGCTTGGTACCAGTAGCTCATGCTTGTAATCCTAGCTACTCAGGAGGCTGAGATCTGAGGATCCCAGTTCAAAGCCAGCCAGGGAAGGAAAGTCCATGAGACTCTTATCTCCAATAAACCACTCAGAAAACCTGAAGTGGCGCTGGGACTCAAGTGGTAGAGGGCTAGCTTTGAGCTGAAGAGCTGAGGGACAGCGGCCTAGGCCCTGAATTCAAGCCCCACAACTGACCAAAAAAAAAAAAAAAAAGAGCAGCCAGGTGCCTGTGGCTCACGCCTGTAATCCTAGCTATTCAGGAGGCTGAGATCTGAGGATCCCAGTTCAAAGCCAGCCCGGGCAAGAAAGTCCACGAGACTCTTATCTCCAATAAACCACTAGAAAACCAGAAGTGGCACTGTGGCTCAAGGGGTAGAGCGCTAGCCTTGAGCTGAAGAGTGCAAGGACAGCACCCAGTCCCAGAGTTCAAGTCCCACCACCAACAAAAACAAAACAAAACAAAAAAAACCCTAGGGCTGGGTGCCGGTGGCTCACACCTGTAATCCTAACTACTCAGGAGACTGAGATCTGAGGATCACAGTTCAAAGCCAGCCAGGGAAGTAAAGTCCATGAGACTCTTATCTCCAATAAAACCACTAGAAAACCAGAAGTGGCGCTGTGGCTCAAGTGGTAGAGCACTTGCCTTGAGCTGAAGAGCTAAGGGACAGCGCCCAGGCCCAGAGTTCAAGCCCCATGGCCGGAAAAAAAAAATAAAAAAATCCTAGTAGGAAATGATAGTAGAATCAAACTCTTCAGGGAAATGCTACAAACATCTTTGTACATAAATGAAGAAATATCTGTAATCAAAGAAAAATTGTTCTTACCATTTTTGCTTCTCTTTCTGTAGTGTCCGGAAATCACTTTTGCTTATCTTTTCAAATTGTGATAGATTTCCTTGGTGTTATCAATACTTCAACTATCTATAAGACCAGAAAATCTTTTTAGTCTCAAATATTTCAAAATGGATGAAACATTAGCAGCTATGGGCGCCGCCAGGTACTTGGCAGCGAGACCACCACAGGTGCTCCCTCCTCATGAAGGGGCATGTTCACCCAGCAGGATACATCTCTATGTCCAAGTAACCAATCACAACTTCCTTAAATGAAAACATCTGCTTTGCAAAAGCCAGGTATGAATCTAAGCCTTTACTTTCTCTTCTATTATCTTTCATCATTTCTTCATATATATACACACAATTTACCTTGCCAGTGCTTAGATCAAACGCAGGGTCCACTGACTATACCCCCAAAGCTCCAAGTGGTAAAACACCTGCTTTAATTAGTGGTACAACACGTGCTTTAATATGTGTCAGGCATGGCTCACGCCTGTAATCCTAACTACTCAGGAGGCTGAGATCTGAGAATCCCAGTTCAAAGCCAGCCCAGGGAGGAAAGTCCATGAGACTCTTATGTTCAATAAAGGACTAGAAAACCAGAAGTGGCACTGTGGCTCAAGTGGTAGAGCATTCGCCTTGAGCTGAAGAGCACAAGGACAGCACCCAAGCCCAGAGTTCAAGCCCCGTGACTGATTAAAAAAAAAACAAAACATGTCAGCCCTGGTTCCATTCCTAACTCTAAATAAAACACAGCAAAATGAAATGTAAAACAAATATATTAACCAGTTTCCAAAAAAAAACTATAGACACTTAAGACCGTCAAGCAAATGTGAGACCCAGTTCAAACTCAAGTACTGGCTGGGCGCCAGTGGCTCACACCTGTAATCCTAGCTGCTTGGGAGGCTAAGATCTGAGGATCATGATTCAAAGCCAGCCCATCCAGGAAAGCCAGTGAGACTTTTTTTTTTGGGGGGGGTCCGGTTGTGGGGCATGAACTCTGGGCCTGGGCGCTGTCCCTCAGCTCTTCAGCTCAAGGCTAGCACTCTACCACTTGAGCCACAGTGCCACTT